ACGCCGAAAATAACCGCGCCCCGAATGGCATGGCCTAGCTTTTCTTACTGCCCTGAACATGGATCTACGTCATACATGGTGGGGAATGCTTATATTGAAAGTTGTTGCTAATTCAGTCTTATTGTCATTTAACGCCTTAAGAATTCTATCGAATGCATTGCTTGGTGAAGGATAATCCTCGTACCTTTTTGTATTTCTTTTTACACACTGCCCTTGCTGGATCCCACTGACGCCTAAGGTCATTCTCCAATATGATGTGGCAGTCTTGGGTCATCTTTGGTGAAAAAGAAACAACTTATTTACTCTTTTATAGAATCCCCTCTAGGGTTTTGTATCAACTTGACAATCAACCGGTTTCCATGGAGACTCTGCGATTTGTTCTTTTTTAACATCCCTAGGAAATGCCCATCTACGAAACGCCTCCAAAATAGGACGTCTTACACCTCACTCTCATACCTATCGTCGGTTTTTTTTTATTTGCCCAGAGATTTCCTACGCTTGCCATTTGTAGGAGCGATAGGCCTACGGGAAGCGTAGATCCCTAAAGGACTACCATTTAGGATTTCGATTAGTGCGTTTGCTTATCATGCTTCATTTAGCAGAAGCGTAAACGCAGTTGAAGGCAATTTTTTGAAGTTGCAGTTATTCGTGAAGGTCAGGTTGTTGAAAGCGCTTTAATGTGGCTGTCGACGTTTCACGTCTAACCCCAGTGAAGAGACCAAAGCACTGAGCATGAATTTCCAACGCCATACATGTTTCTCCAGAAAATACTTTGCAGCAAATTACAGAACTGCATGCTCAGTATAATGCTACCTGTTAGTAGACGGTGTTTTTTTCAAAAATAATTACGCATAGCATTTGAAAAAGGCGGAAAATTCTCTTACTTCCTAGAAAATAAGCTTCGGAAACTTATGGAACAGAACCGCAGTTTTCTGCCTTTCCAACGATTGGACCTCCCTTCCTATGCCATGATGGCACATATTGATTCGCCAGAAAACCACCTTAGCCTTTTATGTACTAAGGTTTAAATGCAGAAGTAATATGCATCGGAGATGATATCCTCAATACTTCCGGGCACAGCACCTGGCCCAAAGAAGCAAAATGATTTCTCTTTTTGATTTCGCACATCCCACAGGACTCAGCAAAATTTTTACTTTCTGTCTGCTACAAATGATATTGCTGGTTGTTTTACAATTTTCTCGACGCAAGCCAGGTTTCTACTTTTGAAACCGCGAATCATATTTTGTAACATAACCCAGGCTAATTAGATTGCCCTCAATCTCGGCGAAAAATGAAGTTTGTTTGCACACTCTTTCCATCCGCTCTCGTAGTAGACGTCAAACGTCCTGTTTCCTGCTATTACCTCTGCTTTTTTCATCCATGGCATCCACTAGGAAGCGTCGTCTGAAAATGATACGAAATTTTAATTTGAAATGAACTTTTTGTTCGTGTTGCAATCTTGGCACTCAATCTTTTGACGTGCTTGTCAACTTGTCTCATGCGTGCGGATTGAATGGCCCTTTCGTTGCAGTAAAATTTTGCGTTTTTTTCAAAACGCAAATAAAAGTTCGTCATTAGTGTGGGACAGAACGAAGCGCTTATTTTTGTCGTTCAAACAGTATGTGATTTACTTTTTTTTACCGTCAGGCCACTTTGTTTCTTTCCGGTAGGACACGGCAATAGGAACCCTCCTCAACGTAGATGGTCTTGTGCTGAATAACAAAAAAGATCAGAGTACTCGGTACAGTCAAAGTAGGCCTAAGTTTCGGGTTTGGGCTAAGTTTAGGTTAAGATTTAGAGCTAAGGTTTTGGTTAGGACAGGGGAATAGTTACCCCACCTGGAATTTATGGGGCGGGGATCCTGTTGTCTATGTCTTACCCTTTTTACTTTTAAATAGATTTTCCATCCTTTGGAAACGACGCGCATCCTTGTTATTTTCGCCAAATGACAAAGTCGATAACCGC